GGGTGTTCAGTTTCCAGTCAGGGTTATGCCATTTTTAATGGCCATATACTTACCCTGTCTGGTGCATTTATTCATTTTCAGGCCAAACTAGATTCAATGATTTTCGTCATTTTTTTTCACCTCTGTTGACATTGTCTGACAAGACCGTTCAGGCTCAGACTGCTTAGGAAAAATAAACTTTGGTGCCAGATTTTGAGCCATCAGCAGTGTTCCCTCTCATCTTTATTCTATTATTCTGTTGCAAAGGAACTTTCAGCTCAGGAGCCACAATGGAAAGAAAACAACCAGCTCTTTTTTCTTTCTTTTTTCCCTCCCCCTTTTTCCATCTTGTGATCTTAACCCAGCTGGTGAGGGAGAAAATTCCCATGTGAGGCATGTGGGTGGAGCCCAATTGTGTAAGCTCCATGCTCGCAAAGCGTTTGGCATGGATCCGCTCGCTCGCTTTGTTTTCCATGGCCGGACACAGGGGGAAGGCACATTCAGCACATTAACAGCTGCCACCTGTTGCTCTGTGCTACTTCAGAGGAACCTGGAGGCTGGGGAACCATGCTGTGCACTGGCCCTTGATCTCCAGGGAAGTTTGGGATAGCAGGGGTGTGCATCTGTCCCCACGTTTTTCTTTCTTTTGCAAGCTCCTGCAGGACATGATAGGGGTGGTTTTGGGAGTCCAAACAGAGAAGAGGTCCTTGGAGCGGTTTGAGCACTGCTCTGGTGCAGGTCACTAGGAGGAATTGTCAAGCTCCATGTGATGTGGCTGCCCTGAAGACAAACCCTTCTTGGCTAATTTTGCTGCCACTGGCTGCTCTAGAAATCTTAAGTACCTCAAGCATATATATACAGAATAGCAAGAGAATGCAAAGCAAAAGATCTTACTAACCTTGTCAATGACATTTGTAGGACATCCACCAAATTTCTCCCCTCCCCTGTGCTGCAGAGGTTAAATCGATCTCTATTCCCATGCACTTTCCTGTACATATGTAAAGCAAAAAAAAAAAAAAAAGAAAGAAAAAAAAAGAGCAGCATATCACTAATGCAGCTAATTCTCAGTATCTTGAAGCAATTGACACAAGTACATGAATTAACTCATCACTTGATATCACTTGAGGCAAATGTGCTATTTGGAGTACCTCTTGGTAAGAATAAGCAATTTAAGATCCATTAGTATTTGGAATATTCTGCTTCATTAAAACCACAGTGATCCCTAAATGTAGATGAGTGGAGAGAAGAAGCTATCAACCTCTTGGTTGTACTAGACAAACTTAAAAACTCTTTATATTACACTAGTATAAAAAGGTTTTAATATAAATACAAGAGAGGCCTTACATTTCTTTAGGCTTTACCTACCTTGGGTTGAAGTTTCTCATGGCTTTCTTAAGCCTGAAAACAACCATGTGGATTGAGGGGGAAAAAGCAATTCTGATGTACGGATTTTAATCTTTTAATATTATTCCAGGGTAGTTTTGCAGAATACTCTGTGTTCTATTCTGCTACTTGCATACCAAAATTCCTTCTCCTTTATAATGGTCACAGTGCCTACAATTCCGGGCACTGGAATTATTTTTTTAAATCATATATACCTATCCTATGTTTTAATTAAAAATTCCCAAATAATTCAGGGCCCCCCCTGTCCTGGGTTTGACCTGAAGGACTTCAAGATCAAATCACTTTCATTTACGATACTGTGTCTTTTTATGATATTATAAGTAATAAAAAAGCAGTGGTTTCAGATTTTAATTAGACTTGTGACATATCTATAGTACACTAAACAAAATAAATATTACACTGATTTGTTCAACACTTATGGTAAGAGAACCAGGAAAGAATCCTGAAAACTTCTGGAAAAAAGGATGTTCTTTTTCTCCTCAGTTCAGTCACATTCGAGTCTCAAAAAGTTTCTCAGCTTTACAAGGTATTTTTGTCTTTTTGTAAGGGTGTTACAAGTCATAGTAATTTCTGGAAAAACTGAATTCTTTCACTGTGGTGCCTAATTTAGTCTAAAGTCTTTTCCAAAAGTTGAAATACACTTTCAGGGCCACAGACCTTACAATTCATACGACTCTGGAATGTGTGCAGGTAATGGCTGTCAACTGAATGAGAGATGGGAACTATTTCTCCACTGAAGAATGAATAGTTGGATCCTGGCTAGCACAGAGTATGATCTACCTTTCACTCTTCACCAAGAGGACAGTCCAACTTTTCCTGATGCCGCTGATTTAGGTGAAACTGCTGTCCAGCAGAGAAACTGATCAATGCAACCAGGTACAAGAGCGCGACTGTGTTTACAACACGATGCTACTGGAAGGAATTCACTAGGTGACTGCTACTACACAATGTTCTTCCCTTGGAAGAAAAACTGCTTCCTGCTTTACACGATTTACATGTGGTTTGGTAAGACCTCACTTTCTGTTGAAATAGCAACACAGTGCTGAGCTGAACTCAGTTAAACTGGATGATAGGCTTGTAGACAGAAATAAAAGCTGTCCTGACTATGCCCATTAAGAGCATAAAATGTATTCCAAGAGTACTGTATGTCCATTGTATGGGTAGATCAGGTTTTGATTAACTCTGAACTATCCAAAAAATAGTTTCTATGACCAAACAAAGGCACTGGACTCTGGTGAATCAGGATTAGCGTTATGCAGCTGTAGGGAAGATACTTTATAATTAAGCCTGCACCCTCCGGCAGATCTCGGTTGGAGGTACCAGCAGTCTTTGGCAAAAACTGGTTTAAAATCAGCCTAGCTTCCGGCTGAATAGCTCTCCCGGTGAGGAAGAAAAGCCTGTGTGTTTCTATGGCTCCCACACAGCAAAAGCTCACTTAGAGTATCTGAAACTGTGGACCTGATACATTTCTATTTTCTCACTTTTCATTTCGTTGCAAGATATATTATTCTGTAAAAAAAAAAAAAGAAGCCTATTTACAAGAATGGTTGCAAAATTAACCATTAATTTTCTGCCTAAATGGATGTGATGGACACAGTGCAAAATGATCCTTAAATAGCAGAGCAGAGAAGTCAGGTTAAATCTGAAATTCCTACACTTTTTGCTTTTCTAGCTTACCAGTCTGCATATAGATGCAACGGCTGGGTAGATCCCCATGTCAGGAACAAGACTTGCCCTGGCTAGATTGCAAGAACAGAGTTGGATAGACTGTTGGCCTAAAGTTTGAGGCAAGCTAAGTGGTATCTTCCCCCTGACTCATAAGTATTCCACACCAACGTCCCTGATAAATGTCTAAAGCCTTTGAACTCAGAAATAGTATCAAGGGTACTTCTCTCATAGCTGAGTCAAGCTGTGACAACAGGTCCTGAAAGAGGATATTTTTATAATACTTTATCTTGTTGTCATCCTTTTCTTCAGTGTCTTGTTGTTCAAGGAAGAATGGCAAAGTCCTTTCATGTTGAATAGGTTTAAGGGCAGTTGGTTGTTTATTTCCCTGAAGCTACGCGGCGCCTTGTGTCTCCACATCAGGGTGAGGCTGAAGTTTGTGTCAGGCAAATTCCACAGTAAAGTTATTTTTGAAATCACTTCTAATATTAGTTTATCCTGTCTGAAACCAGGACACTGACAGAAATGCCCTCTTCTCCTATCTCCACATTATTACTGGCCAGCAGTAGCTCAAATTACATTGCACACACAGGTATAAATTTAGTTAACTATGGGCGAAAACTGACTGATTACTGCTTCCTTGAAGTGACCCATTTCCACAAGCCTTTGCTTTGGTAAGTCTGACTCACAGTCACTCACCTGTCAGAGGATGCTCCTTTTGCTATCAGTGTTGCATTCCCACAGGTCTCTGCTCTCCCCACTTGCAAACTGGCTCATAGCTCCAACCCTGAAGTCTGTGCTACTGTTAGAAATGTGCTGTTGGGAAAAGCTACTGGGCAAGAGGCTACTGAGCCAGGAAAGTAGGCAAGCAGGGCTGGAGCACTGCTGTCTGGGCCACCTGTGTGAGTAACACAAGCAGAAAAGCCACACATCCATGCTGTGTGCGTGGGATAAGTGCCACAGCACCTGGCTTTGGACTTCCCTCACTTCCCATCACAACAGTTTTGGCACCAGCCACAGTGTTGTGGGAAATCCCAAATGAAAGTGTTCCTTCTGTGGCATTTTGTCTGTTTCTTGGCCACAAACCTTTGCAGTCCATGGGCCTTAAATGAGACTACTAGAGCAGTAAAGCAGTTTTCAATTCCTAGAGCTGTCATTTTAGAGTCTCCAAACTCAAGTGGACCTTCTTATTTCATTGCTTCACACTCAGTTCAGGTTTAAAAGAGATCTTGGCAACTCTGAGAGCCATGAAACATTTTAAAGTGATTAATAAGGCTGCACACTTACAGCAAGGGATGACTCCTGCAGGGCTCTGCCTAAATTTCCTGTTAACGTCAGGTAACAATTCATCCAAATAAAGTAGATAACAAGTGGATTTTTTCATATGCATTCATAACAAAGTCTAAACAACAGTTATAACAACAAAGTGCTTAATACATAATATTTTCAGAACAAACCACTCAGACTTTCAGATTAAAAAACATTCTCTGAAAGAAAACAAACCTATTCACGGAAGTCCTCTGCCCAGGTCTCCAAATCACACTTTCACCTGTCTAAATACATAGAGCATTAAACTCTATTTTCATTTTCCCATAATCTCTTCAGCTACCTCCATGGTACATACTCTTCTTGCCTACTCTCATACTGGAGATCCCATCTCCTGTATGTTTTAGATCCACTGACACATGAGACTGTGCTTCTTCAGGCAAACTGCTGGGGCTCTGGGTATCAAGGTATCAAAACCAAATCTCACAGCTCCTCTAGCGCTATATCCCCTTCCCCCCTCAGACCTTGCTGCATGCTAGCTTGTGGTCTGCCAGTCCCTGGGTGGTGTCACTGCCACTGCCCAGGCACAGGAGGGAATCCTGTTTTCTCACAGATGGCCTGTGTGTGCTGTGTGCAGCCAAGGGACATGTACCACTAAATGGCAGGCTGTTTGGCTGGAGGCTTGCGGGCTGGTATAACCTGAACAGGCTGGGTACTGCCACGCATCTGTACAGTGTTCCCTAGGATCACAACAGCGGTCCTCAGAAACAGGCCAGCTATTCACTTCTGTGACCAGCTACAGCTGTATTGACATGTTGCCTTTTCTACTTTCATGTCAGCATCTTTAATGAGAAAACCCCACTGTTGCTTTCCATGCTGCCTGTGTAGTTTATATTTTTTTTCTTCTGCTAATGCATTTCTTTGCTGTAATTTTGGATAAATTTTCTCCTTTGCTTGTCTATGTTTTTTTCTAGCATCACAGTGTCAAGAAAGTCTCTAGCCACTTGGTAATACTAGTTGCGAAGCTCGCTCTTGTTTTCTTACAGCAGAAAGCTGGCTGAGCTGACACTGGAAAAGTCCATATGCTAAGAAATTCACTGTTGCTTTTGTGCCCCATATAGCATTTCTCTTTCTTCCCTTAGGGAATAGCAGTCATAATTGGCAGTTTCTTGGCCACAAACCTATGCAGTCCGTGGGCCTGAAATGAAACTAATAGAGCAGCTTCCAATTCCTAGAGCTCTTATTTTAGACTCTCTCCAAACTCAAGTGGACCTTCTTACTTCATGCTTCACACTCAGTTCAGATTTGAAAGAAATCTTGGCAAGAGATCTTGGAGTTCCCTTACTTTGTGTTAGGAAGTGGAAGCGCTTACTGTGACAGTAGCAGTGCCCTACCCAAACAGGCCAAGAGACAAAGAATTCTGAGCTAGTCAAACAACTGAGGTTGCAACAGATTTATAAAAATATCTATCTTTATTTATTTGTTTATACATTTCTCATCCTTGTGCTGTTTTCCCCTCTGGTAACCTGATATTCCTGCAAGTCTATTCCTTTGTTGCATTTTGGCTTCACTTCCTGTCAATTTATTTCATTTTATTTTGCTTCACCTGTCAAAATACATGAGCTAATTCTTTTTGTGATGACCTGCCACAGCTTCTTAGTCTCCAGTGACAGGATGCAGCAGCTACATGCTTGCAAACCCTGTGCCAATAAAATCACCTGGGCACCTTTACATACACATAAGCAGAGAAGACAGACCCAGATTGAAATTCCTTGTCCAGCTTAGTTCTGCTCTCAGGTACTGCCAAAGAAGAAATGTCCACTCGCAAACATGGCCCTTGCACATCTTTGGTCTCTGAGTTGCCAAATATTCAGTGTGTGGGGTCTAACACAATGGACACCACCATTTATCTGAATTTATTTCTCACCAGTTCTAAAATGCCCGTTGGGGGAAATTATGCTGGGTTTTCTGGGGGGCAATACAACATTCTGGTATAATGAGTATTCTCATATTTCTTATTCTATGAATTGATTGCACACTTGCAATTGATTGCTGTGATACTGGGTGTTACAATTTATCTGACTTCTCACTCAATGTGCAGAGCTACTATAGCTCCATGCTACCTTGCAGCACAGAAAGTCTGTGTCTGGCTAGTCTGATGGTTGTCCAGCAAATCATTACTTGCATTGGGAGTGGTGAAATGCAAACCCAGGGTATCCTGGATAAACAGATACCTCTTTCATCTCCTCTGAAAGAAATGGGTGAGTGAGAATTGGTGTTACACAAGACCATGTTGATGCTGTTCAAAGTGATGAGTTTTACCCTTAATGTTATACTGAGGGAACACATGTGGTGACCAGTGATTGGTTACCTTCACAAAGCTCATTTTCACTCAGCAGTGGTGAGTTTCAGAAGGGTGATAATAACAGATATCATTGCCTAAGTTCTCTCTCACATGTTGTCTACTATCCCATGGAAATCAAAAAGTGATTAATTCCTCTAACAGCTTTTGTGGTACTCTGCAAACATTGACATTAAGTGAGAGATACTGCATATTTACTTGTGGGAGCGAAGGTCCACAATGGGTCCATTTAACAATGAAAATTGAAGACAATAAATCAAAGAACTGGGAGAATGTCTGGAAGGAAATAAGACTATTCATAGAAACAAAGCTCTCAGCAGGGATTAAGGTCTTCCACAGGACCAGGGATGAACAGGAAGGCTATGTCTACCTGTGAGCTTGCATGCTTGAGGAATCAAGAGCTGGAGCTGGAGGTTTCAGAGAGATGGTTGACTGACCTTGGAGGTGCAGGTTGCACAACCTGAATAAGGAAAAAGCAGATGGCTCATGTTACCTGTTAAAGTAAGGAAATACTCCTCTTTGGGATATTTCAGCTGAGCTGCTTCCAAGCATGAACACTTCTTACAAAGGGCACAAACATACAGATTGCCAGAGATCCAAACGGGTGGCAGTTTGTCAGGATTGCACCATCCTCTATGGCAAAAGGCCCAGCAGAGAAGAGGACTGCAATGGCAGGAATGTCCTCTGTCTAAGGGTTCAAATTAGCAGCTTGCTCCCCCTCCTAAGTGGTACCAACCATGGAGGCAATATTGCAGAGTTAGGGCACTATTATCGCTCATCCTCTACTACTTCCATGTAAGAAATGGCAGCTGCTCCAACCCCCTGCCCCTGGCGCATGCCTGAGCAGCACCTCACGGGGTGCACAGTGTCAGTAGGAAATTGAAGTAATGAGGCTCAATTAAGCAGCTCCGCATACAGTCGTGGATGAACTTGTCTCAGCAAGAGTACCTAGATCCAGTGGCTCAGCAGGGTGGTTGTGTGATGTGCAGCTGGTTCAAAGTCATTTGTAGAACGCTGAATATTCCTTCTCCCTGTGGGACACATTTGCCCTTTTGAGTACCACACACACAGGGTGTAGCCATGGGAGCCTCAAACCAGAGGATTTTAGTGCCACCCCTTCCATGTTTATACATGCCTGTTTACCAAGAAGTAAGAACAGACAAAAGGATAAAAGATCTCCACCTTCATAAAAGTCAAGAAGGCTTTGGCTGACATAACACTATTTTGCTTTTGCAATGAAATTTGGGCATCATTTAGCTTTGCTCTCATTAGTGAATGCATAGGACAACACTCACCTTCATTTAGAGGGCCAGCTCAAAATTTTGTCTTTTCTTCTTCCCAAGTGAGTCTTCAGAGCTGAAAAGAGAAACCATTTATTCCCATTAAGAGTAATTAAGAAGGGGGGGAAAAATAATAAAAAAATAAAAATATGATAGTATTGATAAATTTAGTATCATTAAATTTTCTCTTTTTGCTTTTGTTTTTTTCCAGCATGCCTTTTGTCTCCAGCTGCTTTCATATAAACTATGCTCCTAGACTTGATAGAAATGAGAATTCAGCCTCTGATGTCTGTGAGGTTAGGCCACAGAAACTATACTTACTTCCCTGAGGGAAACAATGCTGCTTACAGTAGATTCTACAGTTTTTGCGACATGAGTCAGTTGACTCTTGTGGTCACATCATATAAGGTTTGCAAACTGTATGTATATAAGCTTGTACTCAGTAATTAGAGGAGCAACCCTGCTCCTTGCAGAGCATCACTCAGCTGGACAGCTGCAGGGAGACCTGGATGTACAGTGGTGGGGGACTTTTGGTGTGGTTTTGGGCAGGTGATGGCCCATTTGCAGGGTGGCATTCAAAGGAGGAGATGAGAAGTCTAATTAATTCAAGAGTTCCAGCTGTTCTGCAAAAGGTTTTTCCTGACTGACACTAAGACAATGTTTATATAATTGCCTAAGCCCAAACCTGTAGCGTTTGAATAATAATAATATTGCCATTCTCTGAGATGCACTTAATTTTCAGAAGTGACCTGATAACAACAGAAGCAAAACACTCAATTCCACAGTTACACAGCAACAAAAATAATTACAGAATGCATGCAGAAATTAAAATGTATTACAGGCAATTTTTGCTAAGAAACTAAACATCCCCTAAAGGTAGACAACTTCAACCATTTCAGTTTGATTTTGTTATGATTGGTTATCCTCTCTGTATCACTATTTAGGCCTGAGATCTTTTCCTCATATCTGCTCTAATCCCATTCTTTTGCTGTCTTCCATCATGCTAGAGATATTCTAGGTCCTAGACAATGTGGGTATTCAATTCATGTAATTAAAATGTAACTACAACCATCTTTTTCATTTTCTTTAGCACAAAACAAAATTACATACTGAATTCTAACAAATTCCATGGATGTGCCTCTCATTTTGAGCCTTATGCAGTATCCAGTGGAGATGAATGGGATAATTTCCCATGAATTTAGCAAACACTGATAAAAATAATACAGCGACAAAAAAGCCGTTGTAAAAAAACCTTACAAAAATTACAGGAATGCAAGAATATCCTTGATTGAAGATGTTCAACTCCTGAATCACTGAGGAATCTACTCATCAGCTTTCGATATTCCTGATAACACCACCCAAAGAAAAGAAGCTTCTTTTCTCCTTTCTAACCACTTTTTGGTCTGCCTAGAAAATCATAACTGCAACTTATTTTCACATACATATGTCCCCTCCAAAAAGAGCAACACAGCAAATGACCAGATAAGCCATTCTTATACCCTGTTGAGTCATTTGGAGGACTACCTTCAGAGGCTCCTGACATTTTTCTTGCTCACTTTTAAGGTCTGTAGAATTTTTTGCCACCAGTGCCAGAAGGCAGAGGATGTGGGTCAGCCTATCCCTTTTGGTACTCTGACCAACCCTATTTGTCTATGGTTCATCAGCCAAGTGTTTCTGAAAGGAAAACAGAACATTTATTCTGATTCTGTAAGTGAAAAAACAAACCCGAGTGTCAGTCTGCTGCTTTATACTCTTTCCTTTAGCGAGTAGTTAGACCACCATGACAGCACTACCAAGTCACGTCAGACTTGAAGACAGTGGCACCAAGCTGTCCATCAGCCAGTGGAGAAGGGTCTGACAGTGAGAGCTCAAGCGAATGGGGTAGAGAACATTTGCCTCAAGTGCTGAGCAATCAGGGAAGGAAGATAACTACTGTAATTTGTGTCTCTGCATAGTGACCTTCTTGGCTATGTTCAGTTCCTACTGACACTAAAGTGGCCCCAGTTAATAGGCTTCCACCACTCCAAGGGCAGAACTTGCACCATCTCTGTTCCTATTCTGTTCCTATAAACAACTACAGATGATTCTGTCCTCAGCCTCATGGATGAAGGCTAGTCTGCAGATACCACTTATGCCATCAACACCATCAAGGAGGGAAAAGTTGTAGAAGGTCTGACCTAGTGCTTAGTATGAGGTTTACCATCAGTCAGCTACTTGGTTGCACTCCCAGTAATTTCATGGGAAATGAGAACAGAAAGGAAGTACTTAGCAATGAATCCTCACTTTGTTTTCTCTCCTTTGCATTCTTCTCCCACCTTCATTTCACAGCTTTGCTGCCAAAGGCTGAGGAGGAAAAAGAAATGGCACAAGTCTAAAAAGCCACTTTTGGTAATGAGTTTTGGTACAAAATTCCCAATTCATGCTTTTCCACGTGGCTTATTTTTCTCACAAACACAATAACCTAAAAGTATCCTACAGTTTCTCTTCTGACAGGTTGGATATTTAAATGCACAACCATTTAGACTTTCAAGAATTCAAATCTGCAGTTTCAAAATGGAATTATGCCAATCACGTAGGCCATCTGGCTAAACTCGTTGCTAGGAAGTCATAAATAAGGATGACATGGGGTCACTTAATGGAAAGGCAATGACATTTCATCCATAGTTTATTAATATCCTCTGGTCCAAACTGAAGTGAGCTTATGGTCTCAGCTTAGTTTCCAGTGGACAAACTGTCTCAATTTCCTTCCCTCATACTGTAAAGAATCCATATGCTGCAGAAAGGATTTTATGGACTCAGTTCCATGGTCCAAACCCTAGCAGCATGCTCACTGACTTCAACAGCACATTCCCACATTTGGAAAGGCTCCAGATAAATTAATTCTGTACAAGTGCAATGGTCAAGGAGGGAGCATGCACAGACCTTTGCCATTTTGTTTACAAAATCATAAGATCCAACACTGTTAAAGAAAAAGGATTCTCATCATAAAAGCAAGAGCAGGTCACAGGGCTGTAACACTCTAGGATTGTGCAGCACTACCCTGCTTACGCACGTGTACACACAGAGTCTCTATTTCCAATTGCCTCTTGGCATAAAGAGTAGTTTTGATTTAGAAAAAGGCTCAGAACTGCTATGGGGATCTCATTTATTTCTCCTAGGAAATAGGTTCTCTTCTGGTCTCCTCCGAGGAACGTGTCTTTGCAGGCAGGGTCAGCACTGCCAGGGGAGGGGAGTCTGTATGTGTCTGAGGGAGGATAGAGACTTGAAAGAAGTTAAAGGCAGATTCAAGGAAGGGATGATCTCTTCTGTGTCCTTAGTAAATAGGACAAGAAATGGGCTTACCTACAGTTAAGAGACACTGAGGAACTGTAAAGCTGGAGAAGCTCTGAAGAAAGACTGCCCAAGAAGGGGTGGAGTCCCTGCTGGTGGAGGTGCTTGAAAGGAGACTGTTCTGGGTAGATGCAGATATGGTTAAGGACAGAATAAATAACATCTTGATAGTCATTCCAGCCCTGTGACTGACAAAAACATGTTCCTCCCACCAATTTGCTGGTTTCTGAGATCTTCTAGCCTGCTCCACTGAGAGCAGTAACAAAATATCTCAGTTCTTCTCATCTGATCTTAATGAGAGTATGCTAAAAGCACCAAGGAAAACAGGGAAAATGTAGCCTCAGAACATGAAATGTGGAAAGTAAGGATATACTGATGGCATGTGAGCCATCCTTTGGTCTCTGGGTGAAATACTGGGGCTTAATAGGCACGCAAACAGAGCCCGCTCCTGGGCATGCAGGTGTGTGGGTCTGCCTGACAGAACAGCTGGCAGCACATCCAGCCTGTGGGTCATCCAGGTAATTCATTGGTCTCGTACCCGTTATGAGCCATTATTCAGCAACATCCAGTAATTAAAACCAAATATGCTGCAGGTAACATGGAGAACAGCTGACAGAGTCTGGGAGTAAAGACACCACATGAAAAAATTAACACAACAGTCTGTCATTAAAATGAGGCAGACTCCACACGAACCGATGGCTGCTGGAGTCATGTTCGTGTGGTTAGAACTTTTCAGTGTCCTTTTAAAAGAGCTGAAAATATCCACCAACCCTGAGAACAAACATATCATTTTAAACCAGAATAGGCCTGTAAGACTTTTTAACACTTGTTCGTTGATTATATTAATGCCAGAATATATTAAAGAAGTGCAATATAAATTTGATTTTAATTGTTTTGTACACACGCCAGTGAAAAGGAACTGATTGGATACAGTTCACAGGCAGTATGTTAATACGTTATTTTCATATGATGATAGCTTTGCATAATCTTTCTTTTTCCAAGATTTAGAAGAACCTGTTGTTAACCAAGGCACAGGAGAGAGGAAGAATACGATTTACATAAAATCGGCTACCCTACACATTAATTAGTAATGTGGCTGAGCGGAAGGTGTGTTCACTTAGTAGAAAGTACACTTTATAATTTATACACCAGCTGTTTCAGTGCTTTCTAGTCCATTTTCCTCCCTGCCTGCCTCTAATGAAATCGTGTTACTGGAGAATTGACTGGGGTGAATTGAGATTTTAATCCCATTGACGCTTCTCTATGGAAAGGCACACTGGTGGGAACTTTTAATGGAAGGTCTGTAATCAGAAGACACTTGTATTCAGTCCCTCACTATAATGACTCTCATCAAATGTTAAAGCCCAGGCAGTGTGCAGAAGGCTAGAATTTCAAGGTTTTTGACCAACCCCATTTGAGGCATTCCTCTGGGAGTGTGTGATTACTCAAGTTTAGCAGTTTATTGCCTCATCTTTCAATATCCAGTGGAGCACAAAATTCTCATCTAGGTTGCTCTTTTTACTTAAAGAACAGGGCAAAATAGACTGCAGAGGTACTAGCACTGTCATTGAGGTTAATTCTTGCTTCTTAGTTAACAGAAGATCAATGGAAAAGCTTTAAAATATTAGAACACAAATACTGATTAGTCTCTAAAAATGCTCAGCAGCCTTTGTAAAAATTCTGGTTCACACCACATTTTTCCAATACACATACACCCTCACATTTATTTATTTATTACCAAGC